CACTGCCTAAGATAACAAGGTTTCTACTCAAATAAAGTTTAGCCTTTTTTACATTTTTACATCTCTGCTATTGCTATTGACTAAAACATTTGAATATTTACTCCACCTTTTTCCACAATATCATAAATCATGGATTTAAACACATACTTAACTTATGATAATAATTACTTATTAGATTAAAATTAACAGAAACTTAAAAGAGATGATTTTCATTGTTCCACTAGATGATCATTGATGCTCATTCTTAAACCGAGTCTCACTTTAATTTTTGCAAGAGAAGTAATTCCAGAGGCATGCTGGAACAGAAACATGCAGCACTTTTGAAATGGGATGGGGTGGTGCTGCTCTGCCATGCAGCATGGCTAAACGCCCGCTATTTAGGTAGCAACTTAATGAGTTTATTAAGTGTTTATATTTACTAACAGAACCACATAGAGTTCATCATGCATCACTGTCGCTAAATCAGAATCCATCGACTCAAACAGCACAAAGTCCACACAACAAATATAGAGCTAGTTCACAGTTAGCTTCAGCTTCATCAAAGGAAAGTAGCAACAGTCTAACAGCATGTTGCTGTTTTTTGCTGCTTTTTGTGTCTCTGCTTCTGTCTCCTTGAACCCCAGTCGGCCTCTCACACTGAGCCTGGTTCTGCTGGAGGTTTCTTCCTGTTAAAAGGGAGTTTTTCCTCTCCACTGTTGCTACAAGCATGCTCAGTGTGAGGGATTGTATTTGAGTCAATGCAATCAACTGGTTTTCCTTAGATAGAAAACTTTGTATCAATTTGACTGGATGATCTGGTTGAACAGTAAAGAGCCTTGAGATGACATGTGTTGTGAATTGGGCGCTATAGAAATAAACTGAATTGAATTGAATGTTGGAGCACCATACCTGATCTATTAATGACAGTTTTATGTCTATATTCATTGGAAATCATTAGTTTTTCACCTATTTTATTCATATTTTTTTATTTATGATATATCGTATAAGTTTAATAATGTCTGTGTAAAACTACGTGTGAAACGTGTACACATTTTTTTTTCCGTCAGCATTTATTACAGGTGGTGCATTACATTTTTAGAATATAAAATTTATTAACTTTTAATTAAATTAGCATATTGTAAAACAATATTTATCCTTTTATCCAGTGGCAGCTGGCCCCACCCACCCGATGAACCTGATTAAGACAGAAAAAAAACGTTTAAAAAATATATATAATTATGATTGAAAGAGATGCTAAGGAGGTATAAGAAAATGGTAAAAGTTATGTCATGATTTTAGCACTGATGGCTAGCTTAAATGCTAATTTCATTCAACTGTCTAACTCTGCCCTGTTTCTCATTACTGCTCATCTGATCCACCTGCTCATGTTTCTATTTAAACTACTTGGTCCCAGCCATCAGTGCCAGATTACTTTTGAGCCTTTGATTTAGAGACTTATGTAGTTCTAATAGTGTTCTGTTTGCCTGATCCTGACCTTTTTCTGTATTTCAGCTTTTATTGCCATTACACTGTCACAAGTACAGAGCAAAAAAATGAACTCTCTGCTTTTAACCCATTGCATTGGGGAGCAGTGGGCTGCCATTGTGCGGGGCCCAGGGAGCAGTGTGGGGTAAAGGGTCTTTGCTCAGGGAGCCAGAGTGGCAGTCTGTAGGAGTGAGGCTCGAATTCAGTACCTCTGGATTCCAAGCGCAATGCCCTAACCACTAGGACACCACTCCCCTGTTCTGATCTGTTTGCCTGGCCTGTCTTCAGATTCATGTTGAATTCTTCTGTGGACTGAACCTGGATCTGTCTCTTGACTTCACCCTCTGGATTATAATGCCTTCCTTCATCTGCTTGGATCTGATCTCCTGTCAGTTCTGCAGCCTTCTATGCTTCCGCATCTGGAACTCTCTGGCAGCATTTGCTGCATCTTGTCAGCTGACCGGCAGGAAAAATCCTCGTTCTCTGGGCACGGACTGTGCTGTCAAACCAGGTTAGAGACTCTGTTAGTCTTGGGTTAGTTTGCAACTATTTTCATCTAGTGCATTCTTTAAATTGTCAGAGAGAAGTGAACCCAAACTGCCTTCTAGCCAGTAACATAAAATCACTAATAAAAGTAATACCTGGCTGATAACTTGAATAAAAAGTCAGTATTCGCTTTTTCTACAAGTTGCTGTTGATTTTTTTTGGCTGCTCACCCTCTGGAAAATTAGGGTGTTCATTATTCCATCACCATTTAGCATAAAAAATATCACTCAGGTGTGTTTACTTCTGGCTCCTAAAAGATGCTGTAAAGAAGATTGTTCACTTCTGGACTTTAACTGAACATTTCTAATTCATTATTTTGATTACTCCTAAACTACTACTTTTGGGGTTAAACTTTACATTTATGCTTGTTGTCTTGCTGAAAATGAAATCTGTCCCAGTGTTTTGCTAGCCTGGGTGCCAGTCAGAACTTAGTCCCGCCCACAAGGTTTGAGTTCGGGGAAGTTC